GGGGGGGGGTTACCTTGGTTGGTCATTGGCTAATGGTTACACGAGACAAAACGTTATGACATCATAAAGTGGCCAAAATCTGATCAGCTCATTTTCAGACAGGTTTTTATATAAATGGATCAGGACAAAAAGAGAGGGGGTTTTTGTTCCTGAAACTTTCAGAATCTCTTAACGCAGAGGGGACACATGTTTATGTATAAAAGACATGAAAAAGTGGATTTTGCATAATAGGTGACCTTTAAAGGGTGTTAAAAGAGAAGGATTCATGAACACAGAGGGCATCGTACCAGGCCAGGGGCAGCAGCATGTCCTCCTGTCCCATGTCCTGCACGTACTGCAGCAGGGGTCTGTAAGGGTGGTACACGATCAGGCAGCAGTCCTGAAAAAACATCAGATCTTCAATAAGAACCCAATATTCAAGCTAAACACAACCTACAGCACAGCAGCAGTGGTACAAAGATATTTCCACTCACCATCAACTCCAGAAGGTAGAACTCACATTCTAGTATCTGTAAAGACACAATTTAAAACTTCATTGAACATATCAGCTAAACTGACTTCAATGCTTGAAAGAAACACAGATGTCAATTTCTCATAGTCAACAACACTTTGACTTCATCAAAGCATTGCCAGGATGAAAACAATACTTCAAAATCAATGAGAATGCCTCTTTGGGTGGTTTATTGTGTTTCCGTCATTGAGTGCATTGCATTGTTTCAAAGAGGCTTTCATCCCTCCGATTCTATTGTTTTGTGTGTCAGCCTGCGTGAATTGGCTCTTTAAAGATGACTGTTCAACTAAAAAATACATAGAATGCGTAAAAATTGTACAACCTTTTTTCTTTTTGGATTTACTTGGGAACGTTCAGAACTTGTAACAACATTCCCAAACTTTAATTCAATAACTTTTCACGGTACAAGAAAACAAGCAGTTCCAGACTTAAAGTGTTTTTGTCACATTTCAATTGTTACTTTAAATGCAATTGCAAAAATGTTGAAAATGTGTTATACTAAAAGCAATGAATGTATTTTGTAGTTTACTTTAACAGCTATTCATATTCATTTAAAATGTATGTTTTGATCATGCTGAGCTGCCTCTCTATTAACACTCTTTACGCGCTTCTATTGGTTAGCACTCCAACACATTGTACGTGATAAGCGGCGGTACATCTTTAAGCGGTTTACCAATCACAACAGAGCCGGCCAGCTAACCAATCAGAGCAGCCTGGGCTCTGGTTTCAGACAGAGGGTGAAAAGAGGTGTTGCAGCACAGGTATGATGCACAAAATACAAATATGAACTTTTAAAGTGAGCATAATAGGGACCCTTTAAAAACAGACTTTGCATTACTCTAAATGTTGTCACGGAGCATGACTTTCAGAGATATTACTTAACCTTTCAAACAGACTGTTATTGTTTGATTACGCGTTTGTCACCGTGCCACGACCGCTATTACTTTGTCTGCAGGTTGAATATGATAAATGATGTGTAGAAGTTGCAGCACCCCGCCAACTCGTTCTCTGCTGTGTGAGCCACTCCCTATAAATAATAGTTTACACAGCTTTTAGACAGGCAGCGTGTGTCAGAACAGCTGGGGTGACGGTCTCACAACTGAGTGAAGGTGCTGGACAATAAAATCCTGACGGGAGACACCACTTGACTCCACAGTGAGAAATGCTGCGCAGAAGTAATGCGCGCTCGCGGGTAGCCGTGGTCGAAGCCGTGTAGCACAGCCATTATATTTTTATCAGAGGTTTGCAAACAATAGTTGTGGAATGTCGCGTACTGATAGACATTGACAGGGCAACACTGGGACAGAGTGTAAGGAGCTCCTGGAATGCTGCTATGTAGCACAGCAGCACATACATAACTGTGCAGAGGAAGCAGGAACACAATCAGGTGGTTGATTCATATCACAGCTGATACAATAGTACATTTGAGTGGTTCATAGGAATACTCCACCATAATTACAATTTGTATATTAATAACTCACTGTAGGGCTGCTCAATTAATCGTATTTTAAATCGCGATTACGATTATGGCTTGCAACGATTACGAAAACAACGTAATCGAAATAAAACGATTATTTTTTTATAATTATTACTTTAAAAAAAAAAAAATTATAATTATTACTTCTTTTTTTTCAGTTAAATTATACTTAAAGTTCAGGGTAATCAATTGTTAAAAACATACTGTTCACATTTTTTTTCTCCAATAAATGGATGTTTTCAAAATCAATGAATAAACGCATTTAATAATCGCAATTACAATTATTGACCCAAATAATCAAGATTATGATTTTTTCCATAATCGAGCACCTCTATCTCACTGTGTGACCTAAAATGTTTGAATAAAACATTAAAAAAAACATAGAATAGTCTTGATGAATTGAAGTAAATGGGGGCCACATTCAACAACAGCAAGACTATATCAAACATCTGATTACACATGTTTGCAGTACAACCCAAGACTCTTTTACCCACTTATATGCCAACTACTTCCCAAACACATGAATAATCACTGTACTAATTGAGACTAGTAATGCAGTGTGTATTAATATAGATTTGCTTTTGTTAAAAGCACGCGCATAGACTTGGATTCATCGAACAAATGCCTCTGCTCTTTTGCTCTTTTGAAGGCATGTAAGAAAAATAATGTTTCCTTCACAGATGTAAGGTTACACAGGGTAGGTCAATGGAAAAAAAAACATAATTTTGGGGGTGAGGTATTGTTTAATTTTGTTGAATTAAATTGTTCTTAATTTTGCTTTGTTTTAGCATGGGCACACTACACTTAAGTATGAAACACTTAGCTCAACTTCGCTCGCTCGCTGACCCAAACCCAAACCCACACTTGGACACTCCAATTACTCACGTCTTTGTCACTGTGTTATTAGAATGCTGACATGACTTTAGCCGTCTTCATTACGTTGCTACATGCAATGAAATGTATTCCTAATGCTAGTTTTTGTGTCACATTTTGTGCAAAAAGCTCTGATTAACAGCATCTAAATGCTTTAAAAGTCGACTGTTAGAGAGATTGTACTTACATGATTCATTCTGTACTGGAACTCCTTTGGAAAGGCATAGGAAAATCTTGTTTTCACTGTTACAAAAAAACCAAAACATGATTATACCGTCTCCACTGCAGACTATCTATAATTTTTTGATATTTGTAATATTTGCAAGTTTAAAATATGTTGCTCAACAGGGCGACTTACACACAGATGTTGCTGCAGATATCAGCCTGGTATTGGACACAACTCCAAATTCCTGAAAGGACAGAAAGGTTTGAATTGAGATCAGATGGGTAGAGCACGTAAATAACAGGAGCTTCTACTTTACTGGTATATCATTATCATCTCACTGGCATCACATCAACTTCCATACCTCGACTTTAGAAGCCAGAAAAACACAAGTAGGAGCCATGAGCACGGGATCAATACTTTTAAGGGAATACCTGCAAGTAGGAAGAGATTAAGGTGTGTTAACGTTGTACAAGTAGGTTTTAGTCATAAAATGCAGAGGAGATTAGGTTACGCTGATGATCTATACAAGGTACAACATGCATTATACATTAAGTGAAAGATGAACTGTGTGCACACACTCAGACTATAACAGTATTAAATATATCTTAACAATATCACCCCCCTCCCCTAGCTTGAATAAACAATGGTATATATCTGTGGGAGATAATATATTTATATAAAGTCTAAACTAAAGGCGAGTGATATTGTTTCAGAAAAAAACAATAGCATTAGCAATGTGGATATGATTGTCAAGCACTTATTCGGATAAATATGTCCGATAAGTGCTCCAAATGTAGTGCAGACTTAATGGCAGGACACCATTTAAGTTGTACATCCACAATGCAATAATTAAAGTCTAATATTAAATAAGTTCCTAACTTTTCATCTGTAATATGCTATAATCCTTACCTGGCATAGAAGCGTTTGAAGTAAACAGTTGCCGTGGCAATGACCTGTTGCCGCAGCTTCAGATGTTCCCCCAGAGCCTGGATCACTGAAAGAGACAACATTAGATATATAAACAACTGAAAGAAAAACAGCCTGCCTTCATTATAAAGTGTTTGGTTGGAAACATTGTGTAAAAGTCCACATCAATAGACAAAAAATGCAATCTAATAGATAATGTTGGACTGTATGGGTAATATACATATCATGCTTTGTTATTTCATGCAATTAAATACATTAAAACATAGATGTCTTTGTACAAATGTAACCACTACCATTGGCAAAGAAAATCTGCAGCTTCCAGTACTCCTCTTCTGAGAGGAACTTCAGGTCCTTTTGCCGCTCTTTCATCAGGTCCTGTTTGTCCAGAACCCACTGAAGACTTAGAAGAAAGAAAGAAATATTACAAAATGCTCATAGTTGCGCTGGTTGTTCTTACTGTCGACAAGTAAGCTAGCGGGTAGCACAACATAAACCTTTGTGTTTTAGCCTTCTGTAATGCAGACGTAAAGCTGAAACAACATCAAAATAAGCTATTATGAATAGTCTTTTACCAAAGCTTTTGTTTTTTATTTGTTCGCTCTCTGTCTTTATTTAAATCACTATTTTATATCGGAGCAACCGTTCAGGAGAAACCAAGCAGCCGCAGAAACACAGCTAGGCTAAGCTAGGCCTCACAACACAGGCGGTTATTTAAATATAAAGATGTTAAATTACACATTTTTTATAAAAGCTTACTAATGAGAACTTTGCCAGAAGTTTCCCGCCATGTTGCAGCAGTTGAGGTAGAGAAGGACACTTTATATTGATAAAACTTAACAACAAAGAAACGGATAGCACAGGCAAAGTAGTTGTGCTAAGCAGACAGAGGAGTCACACCAAAAGCGTCCCTGAGCAGCGCGGAGAATTCAATGGAAAGGTTCCGGAGTTTTTGTTCCGCAATTAAAAAGTCAATTTATTTTTCTCTACAAAAGTTATGTGGCAAAAATATATATGGAACATGGATATATTAGAATTATTCAAATGTGAAAATGGATGAAAATATGTATCGAGTAAGATGAATTGATGGGTGGATGGTTTGACAAATAATGTGCTAGAAAACTAAATGAGCAAAACACTCAACGCAACATTGTTAATAAATATGCTGTAATGTGTTCAGTTAATACGGGGGCACACATGCCTATGCAGCTGAGTCATCAACATAACGTCATCATTAGGCAATTAAGATTCCCTCAAACAGTAAGTTAATTGACGTAACCTTGATAGATGGTTGTAGAGACATTCACCCATGGGTTGGGGAGGTTCAACATTCCTCTGTAGTGTTTAGGGAAGGGCTGAGGGTATATGAGTTATCCGTTTCCAGTCCACATTCGAAGCTGTAACAGTTAAGGAGCGTCAACATGAGCCGCAGTCCAGACAGGATGTCTTCATACCGCCGGCAGTTCTAGGGGGCCTTTGCCGCACCACCTGCCTACAAGTTGCGGGTGTCCAGTCCCTCTCCCACCCGCAGGGAGTCCCGCCACAGGTCGGCCAGCTACACCCGGATTGCCGGGTCAATGGGGCGCAGGGCCATCTCCAACAAGTCTGCCATGAGCAGGTGAGTGCCCTGCAGGGGTGACATTATTACTCAGATGTTTATATATATCCTATGTATTAGCATAAGCATACTAAATGTACATTCAGGAAAATGACAGAATGTTCAATATCAGAAATATTCATACTGTATTTTAACATATGTGGGGCTCATTTCTTATATATACTGCTTTTCAGCTTGTAACTTTCACCAAGGGATCAATAATGTCTTATACAGAATACAAAAATACAATTAATTAACTGATATACTGTATTGATAACTTTTATTTGCAATATAATTCAAAGCAAATCCATGTTGGGATGAAAGTTAAATACTTGTGTTTGAAATGTAGAAATACTCAAGTATAATACAAATACTTAACATGTTACATTAAATGTGCCTTTCTTAGTTACTCGCCAGCACTGGTCATAATGTTGATTGCCATTAACTTAAAAAGTGTCTAGTACCACCAATGCAGCTTTATTGAGAGATACAATGTTGCAGTGTGAGTGCATAATAAGCATCGAACAGGTTTAAATGATACAGTTAAATAAAAACATCCATCAAATGAAAACTTTAATGACTCTGGAAACCCTCTGCCTCCACTGCAGTGTGAGTATGGGAACTCTGTGCCTCGGGATACCCATGGGGCTCGGGAAACAACTGGACCTGGATGCTGCTGCGGTAGAGAACCAGGCCTTCATGGCGACTCGCACCACCGAGACGCAGGAGATGGTTCTCCTCAACGACCGCCTAGCAGCGTATATTGAAAAGGCAAGAGCATGTTCACACTTGATGATGTACTGCTCTGTAATGTCACACAAATCCTTGTCATTTGAATTTCTTGACAATCTGACAACCTTTTCTTCAATTATTCCTATGCAAAACCTTAGGACAAATAGTAAGATGCATAGAAACACATCATGTAATTATGTTGTTGTTTTGCTTTCAACATGTTATCAGTAGGTAAATGTGTTTCTCCTGTATTTATTTTTGTAGGTGCGAAACCTGGAGTCAGATAACAAGCTGCAGGAGGCAGAGATTGAGTCCCTGAAGAACCGCCATGAAAGACCATCAGGCCTAAGGAAGCTGTACGAGACTCAGCTGAAGGAACTCCTCAGGGATGCAGAGAGAATGAGAGTCCAGAGGGTGAGGGAGGTCATCTCTCATGGCTGCAACATATGTATATCACACTTTGTTGTGACTACTATAGAAGCCAGTCATGGTCAGAATCAACCAACACTTGTGCTCCTTTATTCTACTGCATTTCTTTGATTTAAAAACTGTTTTATCATTGTATATCTGTACAGGATATGTCTTTGGAATCCAAGGAGGCGATGTTGGGCCAGTTCGAAATATTGAAGGCCAAATACTACGAGGCTGTTGATGCCCGTAAAAAGAAGGAGCAGGATATTGAGAATCTCCGTCCGGTAAGAAGCAGATAAAATCTTAGAATAAATATATTCACAAGATAGATACTTTATATTTCACGAAAAACAATTCAAACTGCATACTGTTAAATGTCTTAGGATGTGGATAAAGCAATGACAGCACGGATTGTGTTGGAGAAACATCTGGAAAACCTTGAGGTCCAGCGGGCCTTCCTGGAGAGAGTTCATAAGGAGATAATGTATTGCCTCACCGGCCACACTGCCTACCATGTATATGAGTCAGTGGCTGGCATGCCTGTCATTTTGCAATTCATGTTTTAATTGGCTGGTAATTACTGCAATGACATGTTGTACTTTGGGATGACATGGATCGAGTGAGTAAATGCAGTCTTGGCAATTATCAGCATGATGTGAGGGGGACACCTGTGACTAGCATGTGGTGTAGTGGACCTTCCTTGAAAACATAAATAAATGGTATCGTTTTTAATCCTATCTTAGTTTTATATGAACAAATAAGCCATTTAGTGCCTTAAAAACTACGACATACTTGAAAAGGACGCAGGAAGACCGTGTAGGTTGCGTAAAACAGCATGCCATGATTTATATTTGAGTTTTTGGTTCAAATCCGGCCAGCAATATTCCCAATACTCTGCCATTTGCAGTGGCTGCTTATGGTGGACCAGTAAATAGAGCGTTAACATGATTAGAAACAGTCACGATGATAAGTACAAGTGTAGTTATAAACAAACTTTGCAGCATCCTTTTGGCTCAATAGAGATCTTACTTTTATATATTGTCAATACGACATGGCAGTTTCGGCCATCCAATTTAAGTTAGCTTTATAAGTGGGGTTATGTATTGCTATTTTTCTAACTTATGTTGTTTTTGATCCGCCCAAAGGAAATTGATGAGCTGATGCAGCTGATCTGTGGAGAAACCTCCAAGGTGGAAGTGTCCTTCGGCCTCCCCGACCTCTCCTCTGCTCTCAGACAGATTCAGTCTCAGTATGAAAGTATTGCCGCCAAAAACCTAGAGGTAGTCTGCCACAATAGATCAACAACATGAATACACTTTGTCAGGTTATATAGAACATTCGAGAAATACTATTGCAAGGCCTTACACGGCATTAATAATCTTTTGAAACTTTTAATATTGGTTCTCTTGGTACAGGTCAAAGTTTGAGGACCTGAACAGCGCCTCATCCAAACACGCCCATAAGACTCGAAGTCTAAGAGAGGAAATCGCAGGCTACAAGAAGGATGTTAGTATGATTTCCTGTTCCTGTTCTTTTCCTACTCATTCCTAGCATTAAACCGCTGTGTGTGTGTGTGTGTGTGTGTGTGGCGACGAAGAATGAGTATTTGGAGGCTCAGATTCGTGATTCAGCATTAAAATACAAGAAGGACGTGGAGGACTTGGAGGTGTCTGACATTATGTTATTCTATAATACATGAGATATTTTAAATGGATATAAAATACCCTTTCTGACCCAAAACACCATTAAAATGAAGACATTCTGATGTATCGTTTTTCAACAGGAGCGCATAGAGGCGATTAAACTGGATTTGAGAGTAACTAAAGACAAGATTGCTATGCTGCTGCGGGAATACCAGGACCTGCTGAACATGAAGATGGCTCTGGAGGTTGAGATTACCACCTACAGGTGAACAAAACACAAACTCATGCTATTTCCACATCATATAAACCTATTTGGTCAGGAGAAAGCATATCGTTTTGTACGCAGCGTTTATTCAGACTTCACTCACTGTTATTTTGTTTCAGGACTCTGATCGAGGGTGAAGACAGCCGTCTGAGCACCATGGTCCCACAACTGTCTCTAACTGGAGGCCATTATCTCACCTGTGGTGTTAGCATGAATGCTACTTCAGCTTCAGTCTCTGATAGCTCTGCTGCCACTTCAAAGCTAGATGGAAACCCAGATGGCATGAGCAGTACTGGGGGGGAGAAAGCTCCTGGTTTCGGCCGGGGGGAGACGGCCTCATCTGACGCCCTGACAAACGGGACTGAGGGGGGTCAGACGACTGAGACCACTGAGAGGAAGACTCTCCTCATCAGGTAGAGGGTGACTCTGGTATAGAATGGGCCTTATGTAGCAATATACTTGAATCTCACCTGATACTGCTTGATACTTATAATACTCTTGCACATACCCAACAAATAGAGGGATGGCACAAGAACAGGCTGTAAGAAAAAGAACTTCGGACGTAGTGTTATAGAGGTACCGTACTGTTAAATCAACTTTAACATGTGATTTTTCAGAACTCAAATCAAATCAATAAGCATCTAGGAGCAGAGTGTAAGCCGTTCAGAAGCTGAACGCATGAAATATGCTCTTTCGAGGGTTTTAATAATCTTTATTGGGATCATAGCAACAATAGAAATTCATTATCCAATCATTATAATTACCCCCTAACATGTAATATTTGATAATGATATTACTTTTATTATGTTCCTCAAATGTAAAACTCCTATGATTTCCTTTTGGTGGACTGTGAAAGCATTAGGTTTTTCTTTCCTGATAAGAGTGCTCGCATCCACTTGTACAATGTTGTATTTCCTAAGTAAAAATAAGAAAGGATTTGTGATTCCAAGAAATGAATGGGTATAAATGTCAATAAAATGTCTTATCTCGCTTTCTGCATGAGGCCCATTGTCTATTGTCTAACATACAAAATAAGCTATAAATCAGAATCTCATACTGATACGGAAAAAATGTCCCCTTTTTTCCCAGATCAGTTAAGACAGAGGGGGACACTTATGAGAGCGACACCCAGGAGTGCACCTTCATCATTTCTGGAGCAGCGGACGAGACAGAAGAATAAAGAAAACGTTAATTAATACCAAATCTTACTAAAAACCTCTGCTAACTGTAAGGGAAACTTCTGCAGCAATGGAGAGTCAGGACTCAGGAGGAGGGTTGGAGCTTTGATGTCAAACACTGATGTTTATTACAAGTATCGGCCGGAGAAATTCACATCACAAGTCACAGAGCAGCCAGAGGTTCTGACTGCCCAGGTGGGTTGCCACATCAATTCTGCCCAGCCCCTCTCTCGATAGACCTTTTAACTAGTTTACAGAGAGTTAATCCACATATTGGGGGATGGTAAGTAAACACCAGGGCCCAGGAGTTCAAAACTTTTAATCTCAATCAGATCCGATCAGATTTTGAAATCCCATTTCTTGTGATCCAGGATCAGACAAGTCGGACAGATGTTGTCCCTGGAGTTCAAAGCAATTCAGGATCGGATCAGCCTGATCCAGATTACGATTTTTCAAGATGACTAGATCCTGAATATCAGTGCTTTAATCCTACCGATCGCCATCTAGTGGACATGAAAAATAATACAAGGAAGACAAGAGACCACATTGCAGAGACATCTATAATGTTTAATTATATTTTTTTATTTGAAAGGTGATGGACTTTTTTTTTGTTGAAGATATTTTTACTTTAATCTAAATTACATTTGTGATTGACAATCTTTGCTGTGATACTTTTTTGAGCATAAACATTTATGTCATCAAAATTTGGTTGAAAACAAAATAGGCCACCACAAACGTGAGCAAAAATTGAAAAAATAAAATGTATTTCCCATGAAGGCAAAAAATTGTGTATTATTTCAGTTAACAAACTTTGCCATCTTATTTAAATTGAAACATATTTTAAAATAAATTGTACAGTACATTTTGCTCTGGTAATCCACTGGAAATCCACCCCTCTGGTGGGATCAGGATAATCCAGTTTTTTGGGATCAAACTGATCCCAATCCTGTGTTGTCGGTTTGAACTACCCGTTTTGAAGATTTGATCAAGATTAAAGCTTGGATTGGATTTCCTGATCTGATCGGATATGAAAGTGATCCTAATCCTGTTTTTTGGTTTTGAAATCCCCAAAATCCAAATCTGATTTGATCAGATAGGGATTAAAAGTTTTGAACTCCTGGGCCCNCTCAGACACCCCTCTCACAACAGACACCTTATCTCTCCACCACACGACACCCTCTCTCACACAAGACACCACTCTCTCACACTCAACACACACACCACTCACACAACACACAACACACACACACACACACACAAACACACACACACACACACACCAACACACACACACACACACACACAGACACCCTCTCACATCACCACACACACACAACACACACAACACACACACAACACACACACACCACACACACAACACACACACACACATACCACACAACACCCTCTCACACACACACACACACACACACCACACACAACACACACACACACACACACCACAAACACCTCTAACCACACACACACACACCACACACAGCACAACACACACACACACAACCCACACACACACGACACACACAGACACCACAGACACCCTATCACAACCACACCACAGACACTCGTCACACACACCACAGACACCCTCTCTCACAACACACACACACACAGACACCCTCTCTACACACACACACACACCAGACCCCTCTTCACACTCACCACACACACACACACCAACACCACACACACAACACACACCCTATATGTACTCACAAAGGTACACGGAAGACCAACTTCGTCCCCGTCAGAGTGCGCCGTCTTCTCACCGACGGTCTATTGGTCATTAGCCGACACTACTGTCATCCTTCTCCCTATTTTTTCGGTAGTCTTAAATACAAGGGACAGGAGGATTCCCTCTCTTAATCACCGGTAGCTAGTCCGGTCCTAATAAGGAGTTTCCTCCCGTTAAATAGGTGCGTAGTCGTCGGTTTAGGTCAGGAACCTCTCGGGCCGTTATGTATAACATAGTTATTATGTATTTGAATCCCTGTCCGATATAGTGGAGAAAATAAGAATGATTATGTTTTGCCACGGCACCAGTAGCACAGTCGGCACGGAGTCCTCAGACAACAACTTTGGTCAGCCCTCCGTTGGCTATAAATAGCTGTAAATCATTGCTAACACGCTGTGAGTCGCTCAGCCTGCCGTGAACCAAACACACACAGTACTACTAGATCTCTAACCTTCCACCTCTCCGTCCTGTAAGGGAAACTTCTGCAGCAATGGAGAGTCAGGACTCAGAGAGACACGAGGAGAGTTGGAGCTTTGATGTCAAACACTGAATGTTTATTTACAAGTACCGGCCGGAGAAATTCACATCACAAGTCACAGCAGCCAGAGGTTGTGACCGCCCTGGTGGGTTGCCATGTCAAATCTACCCAGCCTCTCTCTCGATAGACATTTTAACTAGTTTACAGAGAGTTAATCCACGTATTGGGGGATGGTGCGTAAACATTCTGGGAACACTGGAGATATCCCCAACATCTGGAGATACTCTTAGGCTGACCGACAGTTGACCGGTCATAAAACTGAGACTAAGTGCAGCAGCACATTCCTTAAAGAAGATAACGAGTCAGGGTTTGGTCGTAAACGTCTCCACACATAAAAGGTTAGATTCCTAGGAGTAAGACAAAATTAATCCCTAACACTAACTATATCCTGTTCGCCATGTTGTTATTCAGGCCTTTTCAATGCTTTAGAAATCCTAGAATTCATGATTGAACTAAAGAGAAAACAAATATTTTAGTAAAGCTGCACAGGTCTATTTGAAGATTGTGTTTGTCCTACATGGAGACTTTACATGGGAAGGCTACACTGTGTTCTGTCATTCTGCTCTGCCTGCTCATCACTGCCTTTTAATGCTCTTTTGAATCCTGCTGCGTGTCGTAAACGTGTCTTTCAAAGTAACAAAATAAACAGCAAGCAATCAAAACTGTGGTTTTCATTTGAATCCAATGAGACACTTACACTTCAGTTTTTTTCTTTTCCATTATTTATTTAAACCAAAGTAGCAAAAGATTTCCAACGGAAGAACCACAATTGCTTTTACTCCCCTCATGTAAACTTATGATTTCAACAGAAAAGAAAATGAATACAGAGTATCCGTTAAAAGGTTAAATTTAGTAGGAAGTTACATGATAATTGAAAGTTAATATTCTGAGTTAGTGTGTGAAGACAATTTATGTTTTAATTATGACATATAACAGTGAAATAGCTTATTTATGCGACATAGAAACCCGTCATTTCCCGGCAGACAGTAGACTTTTTAATAGCGTTACTTACAGTGAGAAAAAAAAACGTAATTGTTTCCCCCTGTGTGATCTTAAAAACAACAGACAAATACAAAGAAATTGAATAAAGTACCAAGTGCAATTAAAAGTACAAAATAATTTAATTCCTCACCTTAAAGAAGTTCTTTTGAGAACCACTTTAGGGAATGATGTTGTAAATGGTGATTGCACTCGAAAAGCACCGATTGATTTGTCGATGTTGTGTGTTTGTGTTTCTAGTGCAAAGGTTTGGGTTCACCCCCCACTCCCCCAGCGAGACGATAAACAGCAAGGCTGACTTCATGTGCCAGGTCATCAGCGCTGTCCTAAAAACACATATGATATGTATCAGAGAATAGAAGCCAAAAAAGGGGGCAGGATAAAGTCCAAAAGGGGAACACTAAAGATTTCTCACCTGTGTTTCTGCCTCCGCGTAAACTCTCACCACGTCCTCGGTGCCGGAGGGTCTCACAAAGGAGCGGGCCTTTCGGTATTTCTTCACTAAAGTGTCGATGGCCTCCTGCAGTCCGGCTGGACTCACCGCCCGCCTCTCTGCGTCCGTTGTGTCTATCAACCTACGGTCGGACACCTACAGAAAACAGATTCACCTTACTATAACTGCTTACATACACTATATTCGTGTAAGGGAGTAAATATATATTTTTTAAATAACGAGATATTCAAATAGGACACACACGAAAAAAAATCTGCTTTCCTGAAGGCTTTGAAAGTGCTACTGAAAGCGAGACACTGAAACATTTCCAGAACTAGGGTAACTGCAGTCACAGGTTTATCAAATGTAAGTCCTTTGTTGCCTACAAAAAACGGTTTCATGGTGAAAATGAAGGGCTCAAAAATAATTAGGATTTTTGAAAAGAATAAACCCCAAAAACTAAATAAAATAAATTATCTATCAGAAGCAGCTCTTCAAAATGGGTGTGTTGATGAAAAAACTTAATCGAGTAATAATAGTGACTTATTTCATTTTTTACATTTATTATAGCCATTCAACTACAAGAAAGTCGAAGACCTGTTTTGTAGCAGACCTTGCATAAAGATAAACAAATGACCAGCAGATATGACAATCAACATTATGACACATTAAGTAATGAGTACCTTGACTTTGAGCTGCCTGTTTGGCAAGTCAGTGTAGATGGCGTCCCACTGATGGATAGTCATACCCTTAATGGCTAATATGGCTTCGATCAGCAGCATGTCAGAAATGGCATCGCCTACGGTCTTTAAAAGATAGAAAAACACAAAATGACACATTAGACCTGAGAGTGAGTGTGAAAAAGATGTGTTGTTTACAGTTACATGTGTAAGTGTCCACCTGGTTGATGACGTTGATCGTGTTCTGCAGCAGGAGAGCCGCTCTCTTCTTCTCGTCGATGAGGCTGGAGTTCTCAGCCAGCTGCTGGATCTTTTCTTCAGCTGCTTTACTGAACAACACCTGAACGCAACACAAACACAGCATGACACACCTCAACACATTGCTTTACACATTTTTAAGTAACACCTGAAATACTATAACAAATAAAGAAAATAGCAGCTTTTCAGTGCTTCATGTGATCTGTTCAAGTGTGTCGGATCTACTCACAGTTCCATGACCGTTGGCCTCGAAGTACACCCCAATATCAAACTCCTGGGCTGCATGATGAAGGTGCTTCACTCCAGTTTTAGTACACCTCACTATCACCTACATCATGTAATGAAAACGTGTGAGCTTCTACGTATCGAAAACATGAAAAGAAAGAAATTGAGTTTTCTCACCTTCATAGTGTTTTCCAAATAGTTTGTTGAGCTCCCATTGGCATAAGCAGTTTGCACCACTGCTATCTTCAAGTCTAAACCGGCCTGTAGCAACAAAATAAAGACAGTTGACTACAGGTTTATGTGCGTGCTTGTTGTTGCCGTGTTTGTACTTTAGAGTTTACCGATGTGAGCAGCTCTTTAAGGAAAGTGCTGATGAGTGTAGCGACTTTGTCTCCATCCAGCAGGTGAAATGTCCCTTCAGAGTCAGAGTAGTAGTAAACGATTCGGTCAGCGTCACCGTCAAAGGAACAGCAGCGCTCCCCCGGGTTGATCTCCATGCCTTTACAGAGAAATAGAAAGAAAGGCGCAAGAGGGAAGAAGGCCATTAAAAACAGCACCTACGTTTATCTTGGGGCTAGACATTTATTTGACACATGGCTACTTTTAAAAAAGGGACACATAAATGATAACGGATGTCAAATTAGTAAGTGTAAGACCAAAACGTAGACATTGCTAAGGCAGTTTGCTGATTAACTGTCTCCATCTTGTGGTCGGATAATGAATCTGTGATTTCACATGAGATAAGACAGAGAAGCATTTCATTAACTGTTTTGTTGTCGCTGTATGTATATTAAAAAAGTATTTTTCTTTTAATACAAATCATTTTAATTTGCGTCACATCATAAATTGCCTCATCTGAAAGTTTAAAAAGCACGGCTCTACCTGTTGGAGGTTTTTGCTGCACTTTGACAAAGTCCGCCCCACACTGGTGGTTGAGCTTTCCTTCACTGCCATCGTTGAACAGCGATATATGCAGCTCCTTTTTCAGGTGACTCTCCATCTCGCGCACCTTTAGGGCCCCAATGCCATTAGCGCCATCCACAGAGAGGTGCTTCTGGTCGTCTGTGCAGTTGGACGCCTGCAAGAGAGGTGAGAAAAAGGGGGGAAGGAGAAAGGAGTTATTCCTTGATGGATAGGCGTAATTAAAAGACACGCCCCCAAATAAAAAAAGCTTGAGTGAAGTCACAGCAACACAGGACACACCCTGGATTCTTACATTCTTTGAGAGCTTAATGAAAGCTTGGCAGAGTTTCTTATAGTATCCTTCCAATGTGGCTTCTCCGTATTTCCCCTGCGTGTTCTGACAGCAAACCATGTAGTGGAGCTGCGGGGTCGTCACCAAACCATAGTCTGATGGGATCGAAAGAAAGAGTCAGATAAAGTGCAAGATAAGACAAACGGTAGAGGAATAATAAAACTAAGAAGGTAAACAAATTAGTTAAATATAAGGAGTATAGATGTTTTTTTAGCCCCACCTTTGCTGTGACCCCCGAGTGCAGATACTCCATCCAATACTGCCTGTGAAAGGCGGGCACTGCTGCCTCTATTGTTTGAAAAACACATAAAATAATAAAATGTTATGTACAGTAAGAGCATTTGCGACCACAGAAAGAATGAGTGAATAGTAAAAGGCATAAAAGGTCTGCTACAAGTGCATCTATGTGTATCTTTCTGTGCTTCAATGTACATCTTTCCATCTAAGGAATCCAAATTAGAGATGACATCACTTTAAATACCTGGTGTCTTTGCCCACAAACACCTTAGCCTCCTGGCTCATGTTTACGGCCTCTTTCTCTATGATATCCTTCAGCGCCGCCAGCAAATCCTCCTGCTCAGCGTTGGCCAGCTGGGTGGCATAGACCTCCCATGTCGCGGAAACCATCTCCCCCATGGGGTCAACAAGCTTCACCCCGTTGTCCTCCTACATAGATATCAAGAGAGAAGTTGGAGCGGAGGGTTATTAATATGATGTTATTAAAGACATTGTTTAAACTGGTAGAATCCCATGAAAGGCCAAGGAAAGGGAGCGGTGGAAACTGTCATTTGTTATTAAGAACATAAAAAGAAAACAATGTTATGAGATAAAATAAATAGTATGACAGGGGAAAAAAACAGTTATCTAAAATATCCACACAGAATATAAACTAAAACATAGATTTATAGCAAGATGCAAGGAGGCATTAGGAGGTTTTTTTCACCTCAGGGTTGTGTGATGCAGTGACCATTACTCCGATGGTGGCTTTGGTTGTTTTGGAGCGGAGGGTTGCCAGCAGTCCCATCCTGAACATGATGTGGTCCAGCAGTTTTGCGTTGGTCCTGAAACCTGCGGTGCCATACTGCAAAACCAACCCTGCAGGCTTTGGGTGAACACCGGACTGCTTTGATACTTCCTGAAACTCGGACATCACTGAAAAACATTTGAAAAACATAAAAAGTAGACATTGGAGTGATAGACGAAGTATTTAGGTCCATTACAACAATGAAAGTCAAACAAAATCAATCAAATGTTAACTCAATTTAAAGAACAAAGGCAATATCACCAACATGTATGTGACATATCAACATTAGCATTTAAAGAAATAATCTTGTTTTCCAACAGAATGATTCCAGTCATAGTAATATCATCAGATAAGAGGCTTATTATTACTTAATACTAATATTACTACTGCATAAATACACATTTTGAGGTTGTAGCTGGTTGAGGATGAGAGATTTGAACTATTCCATATACTGAGAAAGCTTGGGGGCTTTTTCAATTATACATATATTAACACATAGTAAACATGTCTTATTTCAGGTTAAACGCCCGTTGAAGGCAACAGCTAGACAAAGCTTTTATATTGAATGTCAAAGGACAAGAAGAGGGCAAAGTTTGCACTTATTGCAGCGGCAGTCTGTCGCCTACTAAACAGATAAACTCAATAAAATGAATCACATCTATTGAAATGACAGAGCAACTTCCTTAGACTTACATTTACTAGCTGAACATACATCAACACGCAGCAAAAACAAGTTAATTCCGCATTAAACGTAACAAACAAACCTAATTCATACATATAATCACGTAATGTTGTTTTAAATTCACTTACTGTTTTGTTTTCTGTACAATCAGCACTAAAGTCTGGTGTAGTCAACGCTTCCTGTTTTTCCGGTTCCTCCCATTGACGACGTGGCTACAGTTCCGTGTACGTCACATGACGTAATTACGCAGGACGTGCCTTTTCTCCACGCATGAATCTCTCCCATCACAGCCATGATTATATTACTTTAATGATTATGCAGGGACGCCCTAAACACCACAATCAAGCCAAATATCTATGCAATTAGATGTTATTCAGTTTATTTGTTGCATGGTCTTTAAATAAATAAAAGCCTGATTTGTTCTCATTGCATTTCCGGTTAGAACAGTAAGCTGAATATCTCGAAGATAAACATTAAGACGTTGTTTTTATACCCCGCTGGAGAGAAATTACTCCACGATGTTTGTACTTGTCTTATATTATATTAGTATTTTTGGCCAATTTAAAACCTGGATCAAGCTTAGATGATAATAACCATAAATCCAAAATTGGCCTATATTTTTGGGGAAATAGAGGGTATGCTTATATCTAGCAGCCATGTTTCACTTCAATAATCTTTCACTCTGTATGTCCTGTGTGAAAACCTGTTTGATGCATACATGCAGCAGCACATATTAACCCTTTGGCGCATAGTGATATGAGTTCCTTATATTGACTCCCCTTTAAGAGACGTGTGATGCGACGTGTGTCATCCAACCCTGTCCAAGTACCCGCTGGGGGAGGAGAGTCTAGAAGATGGACGTATAGAAAGGCCAAATAAATAAACAATTGACAAGGGGGGAAGGAGAAAAAAGGAAATTCCCTTCCTCTTCCTGAGCATCTTGCGCTGCGCATTGTTGGCGACACCAATGGGGAGCGGTGCGCATTTTTCCTACGATCTGAAGAGAGGATCATCTGAAGCGGCATTTCTGAGCTGAACGGAAAAGAATCACTGAGGAGGAAATTCTCTTATTTTGAAAGCGTTTTTTCTTGCAGGGAGGAAGACAGCCAACCCCTCATACGGGATATTTGACCGACCTATGGAGTGTTGATTTACAGTCCGTCATTTTTCAAGCATATTTTATAGGAGCCTCGCTTTCACCTGCGTTTTTCATTGGCCTATTTTTTTCTTTTTAATAAATTGCTGTGGGGTAATAAAATAGCTTTTATTCTCGGTTGGGTATAACCGAGTGGTTATAGCTGTCCAAGGTGCTGAAGTAAACGGTCGGAGCCTAACGGTACGAGCCGTGGGGAATTCACAACCTTGCGTAAGTCTACCCATGTCATCGCGCATATTACCGACGTGATTGCACGGTTTGATGCAAAAATAGCGTTAATGTTAAGGGGTTTGAGCTCATTTGGTGTGCTTTTATTTCCGCCCACACAGAAGGTCACAGGCCTATCCGTCGGGGAAGAGGAACGCACGGGATCCGCTCACTGAACCACCGGGACGCAGCCGGGTGATATTCATTCATTTATTCATCGTCCCGAGGTGAAACACATTCCTGAGGTGGTCGATTCAACGCAGAGAAAATGTCGGGGCAAACGCTCACGGATCGCATCGCCGCTGCGCAATACCAGCTAACGGGATCAGATATGGCCCGGGCTGTCTGCAAAGCCACCACTCATGAAGTGATGGCGCCCAAGAAAAAGCACCTGGAGTGTAAGTGTACTCCTTCTTCTCCGTTCATACTGTAAGAGCTGGCCTTAGATGGGCCTAGGATGCACACAATATCCATTGAGACCTCATGCCAGAATGATCACCACCAGCCATTTCTTAATCACCTTGCCTTTAATGGGTGTGGTGCCATAATGAATTGATGCAGCCACGATGGAGATGACCCCTCTGGTGACCCTTTGTGACAGCCCCCAGAGAAAGGGAGAGTAGGAGAGAAAGAGGGAGGTAGAAAAGGTCATATTTTAAGGCAGACTGGCATGTCATCCTCGGAAAAATACAATTGTATTTCCCTTCTCTGTGCATGCTGCAGCACTGAAGCTTCGTAAGGCTGCATGTCTGGATGGTGAATGAAGTGTCACACATACTAAAATAACATTTTATATCAAGCTAATGCTGTCTAAACATCATGCAAAGACATCAATTTGTCTATCAGTAAGTTCAGGCCAATTAAGAGCCATGTCACAGCTGAATACAATTATCAAACCTCACAGCTTTATTGACACATCTCCAGTTGACAGCAGGGGCCACCTTATGACAAATCGTGATGAATTACTGTCATCTACTACACATAGTGAGTCAGACCAAAGCAGTGGCGTGGCGCTGCATACAGATAACGGCTGGACTGGTTAGCTCTCTGTGCCTTTTTTCCTTTTTAAGTCTGTCTGTGTCTGTGGCTGGCCTGCTCTGGTCCTGTGTCTTGGACCTTATATCTTGTGATCCGCTACTCTGCTGAATTATTTATTAATCAGCCAATGACTGCCTTGCATTATTTACCAAAGTTGACAATACTAATGCTAGCAAAGCACCAGAGATCATTGCTTTTTAGCTTTTTTGATGTGTATGTCTGTTTTTTTTGTGTCTTTAACTTTTGTCTTTAGAGACTAGTGCACACCATGATCTCTCTGTCCAGCTGCAGGAGAGATAGCCTCTATAGACCTATTGGTACCGCACACACTTTAATCTAGAGCAAATGTAATACATTACACATAATAAATGAATACATAAATAAAATCTATTTTATTATCTATTGACAGAAAATTATGACTATTTTGAAAGGCTTTATTGATTCATCGCTTAAGCAATTAATAATATAAAAATGTCAGAAAACACACGTTTTCAGCCTCTCAATTTTTAGGATTTCCTGCTTTTTCTTTTTCATAAAACAAGGCATTTAAATACATGACCTTGCACAGAAACTGTGGTGCACATTTTTTTAATTCTCTGCATTTATTAACTAAACAATTATGGGTTAATTCTAAATGGAATTTGTAGACTAATTTATAAAAATGTCATTTATTTTGTCTTTGAGGTTATGCTGTATCCATTCAAGCTACACACGCTTCTTGTATGTAGGCCACTGTGCTTCTCTTGCATGTGTGTCTTGGCTGTAGGAAATTCCTAACCTCAAAAAACTCAGTGTTGATTAATTTATGTGTTGGTGTAGTTGAGACTGAAAAAAGGGAAATAACTGCAAAGTGATCATTGATAATAAGTAAAGGCCGCCTAAATAATCATCTTTCACTGTTTAATTGATGGTGTATTTGATGAGAGATAAATATTAAAGCTGACAGGTCATATTTAATCCTTTGTCACAGTGTCAGTGACCCTTGGGGTGGGTGTGTTGGTGGCGGTGGTGGTGGTGGTGCAGGGCAGTTGCTATGGTAACAGATTGAGAGTGTCAGGGGATGGCACTCTAATGACAGAGGGCGATTGTGAGGAGGAAGAAGACAAATGACAGGTTGTCATCTGTAGAGTGCATTCAGTATGTCTTAAACTTGAACCAATAAACTGAACGTATCTAATCTTTCAGTCAAATACACACTTAACATATATTATAACACGTTTGCATTTTAAGTAGAACACTTACTGTACCTTAAATGGCAAAATGTTAAAGTGGCAATTGACTATTTGCTTCACCACTATGAAGTACATGTTGATACACAATGTAATAGCTGTACGAATCTGACACCTTCAGCATTTAGATGTGTTCTGTATAAAAACCTTGCTTTTACTGCAATTCTGTCTTCCGCCAGGTGTAATTATTCTACAAAGGAAGTTTGAAACTTGTGCGGTCAAACAGGAAGAAGTAAAGGTTTCTGTTTTCGCATTACCATAGTTGAAGTTCTTTGCAGTTCTTACTACCATTAGCATATGGTGAACATTGGAATGAGTTACTGTGGAAAACGAAATGCAGTGAGTCCTGTTTTGTTGGTAGTTTTGTTTTTCTCACTCTAAAGCTTACCATAAGCGCTTGGAAACATTAGGGGTTGAGGTGGAGATGTGTTACCTTAGCAATGAAGGGCCTGAGAAGTTGTTCTGAATGAGGCTGTAACAGGGGCCTAACTACTAAAAGTTAAAAGATAATATATATGTAGGATTTTCCTCTGAAGAGCAAATGTATTATTTTCTTTTGTCTTCGATGTCTACATTTGATTTCAGTGCAGGGAATGAAACCCAGGTGTTAAATGAGTGTTATGTTTGACAATTATGTGTAAAACACACTTGAATTTCATATTCCTGATCATTTTGTTGCATACTAGTAGATGTAGTAAAAAGAGTCACTGTAGGAATTTGTTACACATTTCTAGAGAACACGTGGTCGAGGCAAGGTCAACTAAAAGAGAGGACTCAACTCAACACCCAGGGCAATCATTTAAATACATCTATAGTACTGTTGTTGATGTAGAAGTAGCTGTTTTTTGCAGAGTAAAAATAAATCTAGCCAGCACCTGCAGCACCTCTAAAGATCACTAATTAAGAGTTCTATCTCTCAACAACTGAAGTGTAAAAAGGACAAGCTGCTCTTTCACTGGCCGTTAGGTGTAAGTAGTACAATAGTAGTAACGTCCTGAGGTGTTGCTGTCAGGCTTCTTGAATTTTGTTATCTTCAGACAGAGCTAGCTGTTTCCCACGTGTTTTCAGTGTTAATGCTAAGCTAACAGGCTGTTGGCTGTATCCCCTATATTTCTCTCTGAAACCACCCCCTATATTGAACTATATTTAGTGGTTTTATTGTATTCAAGTCTCTGACGTTTGAGTATGAAATGTGCTTAATCTTTACAAGTATAGTAACGCACTACCAATCCCACAACACACTTTGTCATAATCTTTTAAAGGCAAGATTAACAGTTGTAGCGTACAAATCTACACCTGTGGGTGTTGGATTGAGAACACTATTTAAAGGATGGCATCTGACTACTAGTCAAGTGGTTTTTCTTGCAACATTAAAATTAATTACAGCAGATACCAACTAAAAATGGACACTGTAACCCACCCAACATTCACTCGCACAGTAGTTTGACACCTCAGTTCATTCTTAGAGCTCTCCTGTGGCCCGTGGATTACCGTCTATAGTCTTTATTTAGCTCAGCCAATCCTCATTAGACACACACACACACACACACACACACACACACACACACACACACACACACACACACACACACACAC